GAATAGTGAATATTGGACTTAAAACCAATTTCTAGTATATGACAGGAGCATCCAGTGATAAACTCTGCTAAAAGTATCTAAAATCTATTTTATTCTTAAACATTTTGAATCAGTGTGCCTGGGGAAACAGAATGGTCACCGACACGTATAGAAATACAAAGAAAAGATACAGGTATCATTTATCTTGAAATAGTTTTTTAGAGTTATTGTATGCTCTACATTCTAACTTCACTTAACATAAGACCCACAGTTTATTTCTCCTTTTATGATCTCATCATTACTTAGAATAGCTACTTACATTTTCCTATCATATATTTCAAACTGTCAGGGACCAATTGTGTCTTTCAGAGCATCTGTATCTAGGTCAATTTATAAATCTTTCCATATTCTCCTTTCTGGCAAGGCATAGAATTCACATGGGCAGAGCAAGAAGATGCTTGCACCTATGTAAAGATTATTCTTAGAGGGTAGAACTAGACACTGCTCATCTCCTGCTAAGTTATGATGGAATGTATCCTACGAGTTCAGGTTTTCCAGGATTTACTAGCAGGATTATTCTGTAGTAAAATACAATCTCCATTATTAATTCTTAGATTATTTTAACCTATTAAGCACTTATAATTATGAATCTTCAATATTGTAAGTTACATGATTGTTTCTGAAATGAAATGAGAATTCCACCCTGCATTATGATCATCCATTTTAGTATATTCATCATTAAACATACATAAAAATTGTATCTAGTTTGTTTCTAGAGACTAGATATCATGCCTAATACGTAGTAACTATTCATGGTTTTTAGGAAAATCAACAAGTATACCTTAGAAGGATATGGTAGAAAGCATAATAAGTGGAAAGACTATTTTAATACATAATAAATATTTCTATTCTGAAATTTTTTTGTTTTTTGGTACTGGGGATCGAACTTGGAAACTTGCACTTGTGAGGCAGGCAGCAGAACCACTGAGCTAAATCCCTGGACCTTTTATTCTGAATTTTAAAATTGATCTAAAAATTGATTTCCAAACTATGTGCTATGCTTGTGATGATAACTAATGACTATGCCTGTTTTTATAGAATAGTCCACTTTCCAAAGTCAAAACAAAGAAGAGTTTCCTTAAAGCATTTTCCCACACAGTACTGGACCTTGGCAGCTGCAGAGGACTTCCTGAGTGCCCTTCACCTCGAGTGGGCGCTGCAGGGGCAGGAAGAGCCTGATACCTCTGCTGAGACCCTAGGTGTTCTTGTGTTACACACAACGTTTACTGATCAACTTGGGGCCTACTGGTTGTGTACCCTTCCCATAAGCTCATTTCTGAAAGTGGTTTTGTTATATAGTCCATTGTATCATATTAGAAATTCAGTGAGAATATGACCTTTAAAGAAAAAGGGAAATATATATATTATATATTATATATAGTATATACATTATATATTATATATATATATATATCTTTTTTTAAAACTTTTATGAGTTGAGGATGTAGCTCAATGATGCCACACCTGCCTGGTAAGCGCAACGTCCTGAGTTCAATCCCCAGTACCAAGGAGGGGGAAAAAAAGATAATATTTTTTACTTCTGTTAATTTCTCATCCACTCCAGAATCCACTGGGATACACATTATTTGTCTCCTAAATATTTCATTGTATGTAGGGAATAAATAAAATGTAGGACATGAATACAACGTAGGAAAATGAATTACTTTTTAAGTGAGACCTAGTGGGAAAATTATGTAAATTATAAATTTGCTTCAAGAGTATTTGCTAGAAGAGTTCAAATACATTACTATATATGAAAAGGAGAAAAGTAAAGCTTTTACTCATCTTTAAAAGACTACCTTGATCATAAACACATCTATTTTAAGTTACTAAATAAAATCATGCACACCACTTATTTTTATTCATTGTTTATAATATACAAAAATAAAAATATAAGCATTTCTAATATTTACAGATTGTTAGCTAAACAATAAACCTTATATTTTTAAATCCCAATGTTAGTTTTTAACAAAATTACTATCTGAAAAATAGCATTGGCCTATATATAGAAAGTAAAACTATGAAAACATACACTATTCGACAATTAAATGTTTAATAAGAGAAATTAACAAATTTGTTATTTAAGAAAAACACCAAAAGAAAGGAGGCATTCGTTACAATACAATGTCTGTTCAGCAACTTAAAATAGCTTAAGTATTGATTCAATAAGTAAAAATAAAACATACATGTGGATCATGCAAAGCACAAAGCAACACACATCATTAATAAACAAGGGTTAAAATACAATCATTTCACATTGACTAATCACAAAAATACAGAAATTAACAGGCATAGTTTAAGACTTATTGATTGTTTTTGTTATTTCAGAACAAGATTTCCCACACTATGGAGAGAAATTTGATGTATTCTTACAACTTTAATAGTATTTTAAATGATTTGATACTTCATATTTTTATTTTCCTTTAAAATGAAAAGGATTTCATATTATTCATTCATACATCTACACAGGCACACATATATCCTCTGAATTTTCTAACTTAATGAACAGGATTTGTTGAAAATAAAATTATCCATGAAAGAATATTAATCCGGTATGTTGATAAGAGGTACCCTAAAGTTTAGCTAATACATAGCAACACCAAAGGAGGCAAAAGATGATATTTGGTTTTGATATCAAAACTTCAGATCTCCCAAATCCTTTTAATATAAAAGGTCCACTGAACAAATAAATAGTCTTTATATGATAAAAGAAATTCAGGCACTCTAACAATACATATGTACTATATACATGTAATGAAGTAAATAAATAAGTGTGTAAACATTCTGATATAAACATTGATTCATAATTTTTAAAACATGATTTTCAATTTATCAAAAAAAGATATTACAGTTCTTCACTAGTGCAAAGACTAAATTATCTGAAGAACTCCTTTTGGAAGAGACATGTAGTAAGCAATGAAGAAATTTTGTACTTTTGTCTTATTATTTCGTAATTTGTACTAATTATTTTTTTCTTTATTATTTACTTTGTAAGGTTAAAAAAGTCAACTAGGCACAGGACTTAAATGAAAACTGAGGCTTTTCACCTATAACATCATTCACGTACAAAAAATAGCACAAAACAAATCTATTGGAATATAGATATTGGAATTCCAATATATTAGAATGTAGGATTAGATTCATTCCATCACAACACATAAATTACCATGTGAATGCCACAGTGGATATGTAGACAAGGTTGATAAACCTTAAAATGTTTTAAAATATCAAATGAAGGATCAAAATCATGGACCTAAAACAGACTCAAAAATAATATTTCTATTTCTAATTTCCTATAACTTAAATAAATTTTTATATTAAGCTTAAAAAGCATCATTACATTGTTCATTAAATAGAACAGGGATCAGTAAAATTTTCTCAGAAAGGACCAAACAGTAAATATTTCAGGCTTTGAGGGACATACAGTCTCTACTGCAACTAACCAGCCAGGCTGCTCTAGTGCAAAATGAGCTGTAGACAGAACATGAATAAGCACTACTGCACTCAAAAAAAAAAAAAGAACAAAACACTTATTTAGATAAATAAGCATTAAGCTAGACTTGGGTCAGGGGCTACAGTTAACTAACCTTTGAAGCAGAAAATCTCACTCAATAGGAGAAATATGTTCTAATTAGCTTTGTGGCACACTGCCCAAGACATAGTAGATGATCAATAAATGCTTATTAAATATGTGGGAGTATTCTGTTTTTTTAATTAGCTCACAAATAATTTTTCTGTTGTTTAAATTACCAGTAACACTTTGACTATAAATGTAAATTTTATCCTTAATTTTAAATAGCATGACTTGAAATTTGATATATATTTCATTGTAAAGGTTTGTTTTGTGCAAAACATATGCAGGTAACAAGGACTGGTTATAAAACTGGAATTATTATTTTTTCCAAGTGAAGAATGATTTAACTTTGTAAATTTAGTTATAAATAGATTATAGACTCAAAACAGTTTTTCATCTGAAAGAAATGTACTCAGTTGTTCATGATTTTAAAAGACAAAGGTGATCAAAATACTAATCCCAATATATTTCTGTATTAATTATTCATCAAGGCCTGAATATTTGAAGAATACTAGAGAAAAATAAACTATTCATGAGTAATAGTTATGAGTTTTGTCTATGGCTCCAAAAAAAACCCCTAGAAGATTAAAATATTCCTGTACCACTATAAATCCACATAGTGGAAAAAAAATGAATATTGATGTAAATAATTACATAAATCATACTTTTTCATGATGTATGTAACAAATTGTAGACAATTTACTCTATGTACATAAATCTTTCTTTTTCTAGCATAATATTGTCACATTTCCCAACAAAATAATAAGTTTAACAATGATAAAAACAAGTTTTAAAAGAATGTTTTGGGTTTTTTTGTTTTGTTTTGGTTTTGGTTTTTTTTGGTTTTTTTGGTACCAGGGATTGAACTCAGGACCTTGTGCCTGCAAGGCAGACGCTGGAACCACTGAGCTAAATCCCTGGCCCCTAAAATAATTTTTTTTTGCTTCTGTATCAGTTACTGGACATCGACAGACAAAAGCCACATACAATTATATGCTCAAATGAGACACAGCTTAATTTGGCATTGTTACACACAAAATGTTAACATTATGTACAAATGAAAATAGCAAGACATTTCTGATTCATTAGTGGGCAAGCCAAAGATGTAATGGAAGAAACTATTTCCATTAGAATAGTGCCATGGTTCAAAATTCACATATAAAAATAATTACATATAAAAGCATTATATATTACAGTACTTGAATGGATTCCTCTTCAACTTATCAAATTTAATAACACAAGCCAAGATGGCTAATGGTCTGCTTTTTAAAAAAATTAGAGAAGATATAGTGTGTGATTTTCACAATTTATAAAGAGATGGTATTAAAGTGAAAGGGACATAGTAAAGTAGAGCAACAAAAAAGATAAGACTAAGATGCTATCGTACCCATTTCCACGGTCCCCGATGCCATGACACCTCATCAGGGCAGGCATGCACATGACACTGTGCCACACTAGGCGGCTTGCTTAGCATTTCACAGCTGTGCTCTTGTGACACTTGGCCATTGGGGAACTGACATATTACAAATCTTGACTTTATTCCTCCTCCACATGTTTGTGTACACTACAAAATAAGAACAGGAAATTCAAAATTATGGGGCTTTAGAGAGACTATTATATCACTTTATTCAATGTGAAAGTGTAATTAGTAATGCTAGAGTTTAAAGTTTGTTTCTTCCTAATCATAATCATTTTCCTTAGTTCAAAACTCAAAGTTTTAATTCCATGATCCAAAAAACTGACATTTTGAGAATTAGTACAATATATGTGAATAAGATATCAAAGATCTATATGACAATGTTAGCAGGGTAAGCCAGAAACAATTTGATTTACCTAATAAGTATTAATTTTATAATGTATGCTGTCTAATCAATGAATTACAGTGTATTCATGAGAGCTAGTAAGCTAATGTTCAGTACAGTACATATCATATGAAAACAGTGGGTGGCAAAAGTATGTATTATGAATCTGATTAAATAACTGATATAGAACAAGGATCTAGTAGGAAGTATAATATAGTATACTTATATTTTTTATACTTATATTTTTTTCATATGACTTGAATTTTCAAAACAAATGTATTTAAATTCAGAAATAATGGAGTAACTTTAATTTTGGAAAATACTACATTGTTAAGATGTTTTTGATGTTTATTAGCATCTATTCAAAAGTGTACCTATTAAAAATGATTTCCAAATTTTCTATGAGGAGAAATTGTGTATAAAAAAGATTAAGTAAAATCATTTGACTAAATTACATGACCTATAAAATTAATATACATATTTGTTTCTTATTCTTACCCATCCAAAATATGAGTGGGACTAATTTTGACAGTGACCTTTTTTTCCTCTGGTACTGGAGATTGAACTTAGGGCTTTTTACACTGAGCTACATCCCTGTCCCTTTCTATTTTTTATTTTGAGACAGGGTCTTGTTAAGTCACCAAGTAGCTCAGGCTGGGCTTTATCTTGCAATCTTCCTGACTCTCTCCACCAGAGTACTAGAATTACAGGTGTGTGCCACTGTTATGGTTTGTGTTCAGATGCCCCCCAAAGCCTCAAGTGGTCATAGGCTTGATCTAGAGTGTGTGAAGCTAGAATTGATTCATGATGCAGTGCAGGGCTCAAGGGCACTAGGATTAAGGGTGCAACTGCTACCTGCCCTAAGTAGTCTGGATAAGATAAAAGGGGCAGGGAGACGCTGTTAAAGTCTCTCTCTTGTTGTTTTTTCAGCTTTGTGCACACAATGTTGTTTCTCCTCTGCCATACCTGTTTGGTATCCCTGTCTTGAAGTCAGTAGATTATGGACTAAACCCTCTGTGAATTGTAAGTCAAATAAACCCTTTCCCCTCCATCTTTGGGTGTCAGATATGTTGTCTCAGCAACAAGAGAAAAGTAACTAACACAGCCAGCATGGTCAGCTTCAAAGTGACCATTTTAGAAATTATCTTTACATTTCCAGTATCTAAGAGTGCCAAGGCATGAAGAAAATGCCTAATAAATGACAGCTATCTGAGTTAAAGGGAAAGATTCACAAAGTAAACAACTTAGCAATAGGATAAAACATGTTCTAAATATCAACCTTGTTTCCTATGTTTCTATCAATCTAATTTCTAAGAAATGTAAATAATAATATAGTAATTCTACAAATATATTAGTAGTTCAGACATACTGGGTAGCACATCAGATTTTGTTTAAAAATCTGGAGCATATGCTTTCTATTATAGGTGAGTGACTTTGACTATCTATTAAAATAAAATGGCTTTCATCATTCAGTTAAAGAAAAATCCTCTTCCCATATATAGTATAGTGAAGTAATATCATCCAATTTTATCCAATGTCATAAAGTGTTTTACTTTCAGTCTCCAGAGATGTAACTATCTCCACAAATTTAGGGACTATCATGACTTACTTCTCCCCAGCTTCCATAGTTCCAGCGTGGACAGGGTCCCAAATCACAGTTCTTTGTCTCTGGTGGCTTTGAGGCTGTGTCACAGAGACTGACACTCTGTCCATTTCCATCCTGGCAGACCACAGCCCTGTGCTGCAGACCCCCAGCACAGCTGTGAGAGCACTGGAAAGGAGAAGCACAGAAACACACCACTGCAGATTCTGCGCTGCGAATTACACAGTGAAGAAACCCACAGACTCAGCCAAAAGCAAACTCAGCTTTAAAATCTCCCTCACTGGAATCACAATTTGAATCAAGAAAGTCTCTCATATAGTTGTACATAAAAGACAAACGAGTCCTAATTTACATCTAGTCTTTCTACATGTTAAAGAGACTGCCAGTGTATGACAGTAGAATTAGTAAACAAACATGTTGAGTATACTTTTGTGTTAAAATTCATTAGAAAGAATGTTCTTAAAACCACTTAGTAAGTGAAATTGTTAAAGCCCCCTGTAAGTATTACATATCCATATATCTGTCCCCTGTGTTAAAAAAGATGGAAAAGGGAAAGCGCTCTAGACGACAGTGTTCCTATTTAGATGCTACTTTAAAATTTAGCCTTTAAGTATATGTGTGCAGTTTACTCAATGCCACTATACATATGAAACATTTTAAGTTCTTAATGGAAACATCTAGTCTTTCTAGATGTTTAAAGTTCATACATGTAGAAGTCAAGGGCTAATATAATGCACTTTAAGTATTTTTTATTACTTCACAGGAATGGTTGTATTTTGAGAATGGAACTGTCAAACTTGATGTCTTGGAGAGTATGCTGGCTATTCATGGGGTGCCAAGGGGAAGTACGCAGAGAGGGAGGTTACGTGGTTCAGACTGTCTTGCTGTTGTTCTATATGTACATGTTAGTTAATATTGCTGGGTATTAAAGGATAAGTCTTACTGCCCAAATTATGTTAGAAATAGCAAAGAAGTTTTTAGGAAGAACTGTCTTCTGGAAATGACCTTTGTTAACGCCACCTCTTGGAGCTAGATGTGGTCCTGAACTTAAGTCACTGAGGTGAAGAGGGAAAAGGGTGGGTGAGGGTGGTAAGAGCTCTTTGCTAGATCTCCATATCTGGAAGATGATTTTAGATTATAAACATAGGCCTGTGCGTGCATTTTTGGTAAAGTACTTGGGCGTATTGTGCACAAAGTTCATACTCTATTGCACAGGATCTAAGCTTTATAGATGTTAGGGGGTGGCAATGTATCATAAAAACTAGAGATAGTGAGTTAGACAATATCTGAGTATCTTTTTGTTATAATTGATAGAAAAGATGCATCTTGGACTTTGAATTGTTACAATACCTCTAGGCAGTGTGTATCAAGACTTGTCGTTAGGCTGGCAGCAGAGGGGCAGAAATAAGCATATAGGGAGAGATGTGAGCAAAGTGTTCAGATCTACATTTTGGTGAGAGGAATCAAAATATCTTCTACCTATACTGTAGAAATACATTAATAATTCAGTGGGAATATGCCTTCTTGCTAATATCTTAATAGTAGAGATCTGATAACTCTCAGACACATGGCTTGGTATACTCGGCTGCTTTATGTCTCATTTTAAATTGAGCATTAAGGAAATACAGTATTGTAATTGTAACTTTGCCAATACTTTTATCTAGAAGCCTTTTGCCATTTTTATGAAATTTTTGTTCCCAAGAAAGGCAGGATTACAATTTTATTCTAACAGATTGAGTTGGTGGAGTGTGTTCTTAGTTATCAAAAATATTCTGTAGCTTTGGGATTTTGAATTGATGAATATTCATAATGTGTAGAAAAGGATGACACACACTGTACAAACTCAGTCACACAAAATGGCATGTTGTACATGTACATGGAGGACCTAGAAGAACACATCCAGCTAAGCTGCTTGTGATTGTGAATGACTTTGTTCTTTGCTTCTTGTGTCTTTGTTTCCTGTAAGGCAAGTCTCTAAATTGGGGAGTAATCTCAATTAGAGTGGGGAATAATCCTGCACCCTCATCCTAAGTACAGCCTAAGGAAAAAAGGAAGTAAAGTTTTATGGTCTCACTGTGAAGGAATAAAAAACACAAGGTAGTGTTATGTTTCTTGACTTTCACCTTGGTGCTTTTCTTATTATTTTCTTCACTAATCACATGTAAAATATGAACAATTGTACCTTTTGTATTGCTCTCCCAGTAATGTTTTTCATAAACATTTGTAGTCTTCCTAGAAGGTTTTCCTTTGTTTTTATTATAATGAACTCTAATCATATTGTTTTTAAGTGCATTCCTCTATAATCATAATATCACATTAATGTTTAATTTAATAAGGACCCTGGGGATTTGTAATCGGCATAAAAAATGCTTAATCCTTTTAAGATTTATGCTTCAGGTAAATTAAGCATGAAAAGCATTTGACTTTGTGTGTACATATCTGTTTAAGGGCTGCAATATAACGAAATTACAGAATTAATATAACTCAATAAAGGTGGCTTACTGATCCCCATGGTCCCATTCTCCACTGGTTTCCTCTGATTGACAGATGCCCCCCCTGATTTTCATTATCTTCAGGTTTGTGAGTTAATGGAAAATTCTGGCCTGAGAAACGGCTGGACTGCTCAGAAGAACTAGGAAAGTGGCTATATGTCGGTGGGCAGGCTGCCAGGTTGCATTCTTGTTCCGCCAAAGGGCGAACTTCCGGGTCACAGAAATTCTCATCAGTTGGCTGGTGGTAGTGGATGCATAAAACTTGTCTAGTTGTTTTTCCACGGCCACAGGAAGCTGAACACTGAGCAGAAATGTCAATATTTGAAATGTGATATGCTATATTAATGTATTAAATATCAAATATTATTTTTAAATTTTTTACTTCCTATTTTTTTCATAACAATACGTACAGGTGACCAATTTCCTGCTTGCCATTCTCCACAAGGGCTAAAACAGGCATATATTTCAGCGGGTCTGGGCAAGTGGGCACAATATGATTCATCGGCTATTTCATCATCAGCATCGCGACAGCTTACATAGCGAGCTTGATTACCTCTTCCACAAGACACAGAGCACTTAAAACAAATAGTATTAAAAAAAAACAAATAGTGCCTTTCTCCTCAGAGCTGTTACATTTATTTCTAAAATATCCTTTCCTGAGAAAACAAATTATAAATACTACCACCTGGCACCATTTATGAGTCAAATACAGATAGGGCAGTAAGTATTCTAGTTTACATAGTAAATTTCACAACTCAGGTATAATAATTTAAAGAAAATAGTGATTTGAAATGCTTATAAATCCATATTAAAGATACTGAAAACATTTTGTGTCAGAGAATCTTATCATTAAAAATAACTTTGAAAGACTCAAGTAATAGAATATCTATGATCCCATAATTAAAATATAAGATTAAAGCAAATTGCATAGCCCAAATACATTAAAGCTTCAGTTCAGAAAATGACATGCAAATGTGTGTAGTTTAAAGTTGATAAATGCCTGATATCACATCTCTTTCTCATAACAATGCATGACATAATAGTAGTATTATCATCATTTTGTACTTTACAAAATAGACCCTGAAGATTTAAATCTCCTGCTCAGAGACAAGGGTTTTGAAAGGCAAAGCATGATTTAACTATTAAATTACCTAATCCTAAACCCTATATTTCTTCCAAATCTTCAAAATACCTCAGAATTAATGCACATATTAACTTGGGAAATCTGAAGCAACTATTTTGTCAATGTCTCAAAGCCTCAACAACAGCAACACACAGAAACACTGTGTGTTGAAATAAATTCACTTACTGGGGTCCAAGATCCATGCCGCCATTGTGCTATGTTTGCCATGGGAAGAGCTGGTAATGATGTGGCCCCAGTGTTAGGGGTAATTAGGCAAGGGGTAACTGTACAGTCCTGTTTCAAAGAAAAATACATCTCATACAACATTATTTAATTTCCATGTTGACTTAAATAAAATCTGAAACTTCATTTCCTTTTTCACGTGTCTAATTCATGAACAGCTGCATACAAATAGATGATCCAAAAGTTTTTGTTTCCTAAAGCACAAATTCCTGTGACATGCTAGTCATAGATTCTGAATCTTAAACTCCTTATTTCTGAAGGAACACAAAACTGTACTTTAAAAAGCAAGAGTTCATTATATTCATAATAATAAAAAATATACTTCTTGTATAATTCAGAAAATAGGGCCGGGGATTTAGTTCAGTGGTTTTGCCGCCTGCTGTAAAAGCACAAGGACCCGAGTTCGATCCCCGGTACCAAAAAAAAAAAAAAAAAAAGACTTTGTTCCTAGAAAATGGGAATATATATGTTAAATGATCTAATGGCAGATAAGGAGTAAAATATTTCATAATAATGCTATAAAATAGCTGGCAAAACCAAAAATGATAAATATTACATCTCACATACACATTTTTAGGCATATAAGTTGAAGTGGGAAAAATACATGTAAAATAATTTGAACATATCAATAATCTTCCTGTATCATAAATATTTTTGTTCTAATCTATTACCTGCCTGTCACCTGGGTGACTGGCTTCTTGGCATTCTCTGTCATCCACCACTGCATTGAACAGCTCGCTGACACATTTAACAGCACGTATCTGATACCCATATCCACAGGTGGCTGTGCACTACAAGAAAACAATACACAGATATAAAGAACCACTGATTTCAAAAATTACATAAATTTTCATTTTCTTAATGACTATACAGTATTAGCCAATCTCACATTGCTCAGACAAAATACCTGACACACATAACTTAAAGGAGGAGAGGTGTATTGTGGCTCATGCTTGAGAGAGTTCAGTACATGGTTGGCTGGCTACAAAGCAGAGAAAAACATCGTGGTAGGGCAAGACGAGGAAAGCTTCTTATGTATGGTGGCCAGGAAACAGAGAAAGAAGGGAAGAAGCCAGAAACAAGAATACATCTTTCCATGTCACAACCCCAGTGACCTGCCTCGAACCAGGACCTGTCTCCTAACAGCACGTGATCTATGAGTGAACTTATCAGCATGCCAACCACTGATGAGGATAGCATCCCCATGAGCCGACCACCTTCCAAACATATGAGTCTTTTAGGGTTCTTTTTAGATTTAAACTGTAACGCATAGCTAATAATATACTTTCAACAGATCTTTTTCCTACCCTTTATGCAGATTTAAGACCAAAAATTAGTACATTCAATCAATATGCTTCTTTATACAAATTTACTACATAGATATTACTAAAATGCTGATTGATGTTAACAAAATATTCTAAATATTGTTAATGTATTTTTTAAAGTTGTAATATAAAATTTATTAAAAGAGGCCTAATATTTTGGAGGTATAGTCAACACAACTTAAAGGAACAAAACACTTTTCAAACTTTACTTGTTGTATGTTATTTAGTATATTAAGTAAATTTTAAAAGGAAAAAGGCAGGATAATGTATGATAGTTAAGGAGATGAGAGAAGGCTTCCATCAATTGTGCAACCTCTGCAAGATCATAAGCTACCCACCCTCACCCAGCCTGACCATTGCTCATCCTGCAGATTCCTAGTTCCTGGCTGGTAAAACATCTAAACACTGCCTACATAAATACAGTAAGATGCAGTGTAAACACAGAGCATGAAAATATTTATAGTTTAATCAAAGCTGATGAAAGCATAAGATTTATAGCATTTTTGGGCTGGGAATTTAGCTCAGTGGTTCTGCAACCTGCCTCGCAAGCATAAAGACCGGAGTTTGATCCCTGATATGAAAAAAAAAAAAAAGATTTATAGTATTTTTGTTAACTAAAGTGAATTCACAAGCAAAGATGAAATATTTACCACAGCAAAATTAGCATTAATGTCAAAATTCTGTAGATACAGGCATACATTTCAGAGGTATATTTCCAATAAACCAACTCGTATTTCACTGAATCCACTAAGTATGGAGCTAATATAGCCCACCTTTCCTGCTATTCTGTAAAGATGGATCAAATGAGAAGAATTCATATCATATACTCACGGAACCCCATGGTCCTACTTGCCAGGAAGCACATGTATGAAATTCACATGGTCTCAGAGATTCAGGTTTGGTACTTAGATTGCAGAAACCATCACTCAAGCGATCTTCATTCAATTGACACCATACCTGCCTCTGCTTTGTTCCTTTTCCACATGTAACAAGACACTACAAGAAATCAGCACAAATGCATTACAAAATGATGTAATGATCAATTTGCATATTAAAATACAGCTGGAAGACTATTACTAAGTGTATTTCCTCTACTCCTCTAGAAACATTCACTGAGTAAAACCAGCTATCTCTAATTTCTGCTGCCAAGTCCCACTGAAATATTCACTTGTCCTAGAAACAAAGATACAAAACTAAGCTTATATATCCCAGGCTTCTGTGGACACTAACACATTCTTATAAAAATGGCTATAGATTAAAAATCAGAAAATGTCATTTCTTGTTTGATATCTGTAAATAGTTTAAGGACATGCCATTTTATGCTTTTATTGCCTTTATAATAAAGTGGTTTATAAAATGATAAAATAAACTAAATTTTTAAAATGTTATAAAGTCTTTTATTGTGAAGCTTTTCTAACAGATTATAACAGTCCTAACTAAGCCTCATGTGTTTAATGTTACCTCACTCCACTCACTAGTGGCCCAAATAGGACAAGAAAATTCATTGCAATTCTCTAGCATCACTCGGGGAAGCTCTTGACATTCTCTCTCAGCAAGACGGTGGCCAAAGTTATTTACACAGTAAGATTCTCGGGACTTTTCCCCTCCTCCACAACTTCTGGAACACTGATTCAAAAACAAAATAAAACGAAACAAAACAAAAAGAGGTGACTTTTGGAAATGGAAAACCAAGCCAAATTTTTTATAAATAAACTTTAGAAAAATATAAATGTTTAATTAGAAAAAAGGTGTTAACTTATCTTCAGCAGTAACTTTTAATGTACCTGGGACCACTCTGAATAATGCCATCTTATTAAGACACAGTCCCCATGGCATGTTTCTCGGGTAGGAGGTTTCAGCTGGTCACTGCAGTAGTGGTCCTCTACTGGAACAGTCTGTCCTTTATGAACAGAATACTTCATGCAGTGGACATCTAAGGACCTATATCCTTGGCCACAGTGGGATGAACAGTCACTTTTGCCAATGATGTGCCACCTAGGAAAAAGGATGTTAACCCTTAGGAGTTGTTCTCATTAATACAAACAAAAAAAGATTCAGAGAGACTCAGACATGATTCGATTTTTAAAATTCTATGAGTTGACAGACAAGCTTCCTAAAATAATTGATATATCACTGAATTAGTGACTGAAAAGTTCTTACAGCTCACATAGCCCGAACATTCATTTTTACATATGAGAAAATGAGACCTAAAGAGATTTAATCTTTCAATAGTATAAACAATTTATTTATTTTTTTGGTCAGGAACCCTACTTTTTTCTAAATAAAATCTTAGTTGCTCACCAAATACATATAGATGGAACTGGTCTGGTTATAACTGGAGACAGGGAACCAACATTAAATCCACTGGCCTCACCCTGACATTTGGTGGCAACTTTGGAGATATGTTCAAGGAACTGCAATTTCCCCCAAAGCCTTTGAAAACAACTGGTTTAGATCAACATTATCCAATGACTTAGTAGCAGATTTAAGACTATAACTGAATGTATCTGACTCCTGATCAGGTCATCTCTCCTTACACAAAACCCCTACAGCACTTTGATATGTGAACAGGGAATGTCTGGAAATCTAATCGATAAGGATGAAGCCTTTAGAAGTTGGAAAAATAGTTTTATAAAGCATATTTCTCTTTAGCAATAATCATGTAATCTCCATTTAGATATTTTTGGCATGAAAAAATTTTTCCACAAGGAAAAATGCTACTTTGAGTCAAATTAAGTCAATTATGGTCTAGTAATCTATCAAACAATATGAATACACCAGTATAATGAAGAATAGAATTTATAGAGTTCATTTCCAATAGCAGCTAAAGAATTTCACTGTGTTTCCCACAACTTAAGTATACATTTCTACTACTAAGTTTTTACTATGTCTTTGATCTAATCAAAAAAGTATTCTTATCCTTGCTGAGTGCAAGAGGTTCTGGCTATCCTTGGATATTAAACATCACTAGCTAAAATGCAAAAAATAAATAAATTAGAAGATGGGGTTATTGTCCTTGGCATCAGTCCAACCACACATAAAAAAAGACAAGAAATTTAGGCTAGACATGCAAACTTTCCTATCTCAATGTGGGAACATATCCCTTATTAGTTAATGGATGAAATACTAAAATAACAGGCAAATCAATCTATACATTTTCCAATGCTCACACCCTCAGACTTTGTAAGTTTGTTGGTTCATGAGTTCAACGGGAATTACAGAATCATAATACAAAATTTATTATTTCAGATCTTTAAACTATGGCTTTTCAGATTAGTGTTTACCTGTATTGATTTTATAGACAAAGTTGCTTCCAGCCCCAACACAAACTGTGCAGAACTGTAATCTGAAATGTAGCTAATGGTATGAATAAAAATTCAAATTAATTACTGAGTTGCACCACAAATTAGTGAGCCTTATAATGGCAGGGACAGATGATGGGTATCAATGACATGCCCACTCTTGTTAGGCACTGCACTAAATGATTTATACATTAACTCACTTATTAGTTTAGCTGCATTACAAACTGGTTACACCATACTTTATATCTCCCTTACCTTAGTTCACAGTCTGTATTGCACTTTTCTGTTATAAATGATGGAAGTGGCAAGTGGTCACAACTTTGATCAGGCATAATCATCTGATCCCTCTTACGTATACAGGTGATTCTTCTTCTATGAACACCTTGGCCAAAGTCACATAGAAATTAAAAATGAAAGAAAAATTCAAGTAAGTAGAGGTTCCATAATTATTTAATTTGATAACAGCTTAAAGGATTCAGCTAAGAAAACAAAACCTTTCATCACCTCAAATTGGATAAACTAGTATGTTAATCTAGTCCAGAATTACTTTTTATTATAAGTAAGCTAAGTCCTGAATGATTTACAAGTTTACTTAGTGAAGAGATGAAAGGAAGGTGAGATATGTATAGAGTAGAAAGAAATCCATCATACCTAATACAGAGTAGTTTTGGGAGAAGGTTGAGTGTGTAAGGCTAGTGCTGACGCTACACTAAACATAATATTGTCTGAATTTTTTGCTTTCCTTTTCCCTGCAAGAAAATTGCACATTTCTGCTTGGTACAGTGTCATAGTAACTTCCAATAGAGAAGAACATTGACTTATCTGGTGGCATCAGACTTATGCAAACTGAATGAAGGGGATGTGACCTATTCCAATTCCAATTAGTTCTCTTTCTCTTTTCCTTGTGTCTCCAAAATGGCATTTCTCAGGTAGGACTAATCTGTCAGCCTGGAAGCATGAATGAAAAAGGCATTGACAGACAATAAAAGGTTTGGGGGAAGGTAAAGCACAGAGGATTTCGAGGGTGATGAAACTTCTCTAATACTACAATGATGGAAATATGTCATCATATATTGATCAAAACCTATGGAATTTCCAACACAAAGAGTGAACCCTGATACAAAGTACAGGTTTTAGTTGATAATAATGCATCAAAATTTGCTCACTGATTACACATATGTGCCAAACAAAGGCAAGATATTACTAATACGTGTAAATGATAAGGGAGGGAAGGAAGAAGAGGGAATATTCAAACTTCTTGTATTTTTTGTTCAGTTTTCCAAACAACGTAAAACTGCTATAAATAAAGTCTGTAAATCTTTTTTTTTTTAATGAGATGGACAGATACCAAGTTAGAGTACAGCCATAGCTAATCAGGGAAACATGGAATGAGCAATAAATAAACCTTTGTCTGAAGAATTGAAATTTGGAGGTTGTATGTAGCATGCATACAGCAAAAGCATACAGAAAGAAGTGGTCATAAGAGGCCAGAGTGAACTTATACTTTCTGCAATGAGGAGACAGTAAAGAATTTAAGCACTGAGGAGATCATATTCCTGCTTTTTCAGAGCTCAACTTTGTACTTTCAGTTAACTAAACATGAACATATATGCTTATCTCTGATCTTTCCCAAACATTCCTTAAAATAACTTTAAAGAATTTTGAAAGGCATATATCTAAAAGAAAAATATATAGAAAGGAAATACAGCAGCCAAGAAAAGGAAAGTTTGAATATGAAAACTGGGAATAGCTATTTAACAGAGCCAAGGCAGATGAAACCTAAGCCTGTGAAGGGGGAGAATGAATAATTCATGCCACAGGATCCAAGAAAAACTCAGGAATCAAAAATATCAGATTCCTCTGAAGAGGTCAATGTGTGAGAGGAAGGCCTGAAAAAAAAATGGATAATTGATGGGAAAGTATTTATGAACAATTAGACCACTACCCTTCCAGCCTAACAGAGTGCTGTTTAATTAGAAAGAATGTGAAACACATAATATAATTTTAGCATTTTATTCTAATCACATTAAAATGCACAATGATACAGGTGAAATTAATTTCAATAACATTTATAGTTAACCCCAAATAACTAAAATATTTCAACATAAAATCTATATAAAAATGATTAGTAGCATGCTTTACATTATTTTTTATATTATCTTTAAAATCCAGTGTGGAATTCACACTTACAGAATATTTCAATGGACTAGCCTCATAGTAACTACTATACTGGGCAAAATAGCTCTAGAAAAGAACTTGAAACAACAAGACACAAAGCAAGGAAGTTGAGACACATTGGACTAAGACAGTGATTAAGTTTCCATTCTGAATGATAAGATCCCATCCCTCTGGGCTCTAACCCCCTCTGGCTTCAAGACAACTTCTATTGTTTGCCAACCCCATCAGGACCATCAGAAGATGGAATGACACCTTTCTTAGGGAACTGTTTATTTATTTTTTTCCACCATTAAGTTTATTGGTACATTTTAGGTATAAAATACAGTTACATTCATCATTGGGATCTTGTACCATTACATGAGTATCTTGGT